CTGTATCGTGCGGTGTCCTCACATAACTGTACAAAGTCTCACAGACAAGCAGATTTGATAATTCCATTATTTAATGGTCACAGTTGAAGCACATTATATAAAATAATATTTGAAAATAAACCACAAAAAAGAAGTTTGCTGACGATACACACGCATACCCAAGAGCTGCTACTAAATAAGCATGCTCCCCCAAAGTAGCAACCATACATTAAAAAAGCCACATTAAAAAGAAAAAGGGAGTAAAGTGCATGTATGACAGGCCTCCCTGTACAGACATTTCTGATAGACGGCCAAGAAGCTTTACTTGCCAGTCACAGGCACACTCCTGAAATTTGTACAAAATAGGTGATTAATAAAAATAGTTCACCCCCACATGGTAACGCTGGGCGACAGTCACACACACGGACACAAACCAAATAGAAAAAAAACAACAAAAAACTGTACAGTTCCTAAAATGTTAACACACAATATGGACATTTATATCCCAAAGAGAACATAGGACAAAAACTCACAAATATACACTGTGCCTTCAACTACCAATCCAATAACCTCCCCTCTCTCCCCCACAGCGACGCATACACAACATGGTTGAGCTGCATCAGAACCGCTGAGGGGGACCGTGAGAGATGAATTGTCGACTTCCCTTCATCAAGTTGTGAACTCGAAATGGTTTCTGACATTCCAGGAGTCCAGACGTTGATGCAGCTCAGATTTGGTGCACACTTACTGAGGTATTGAGAAGTCAAAACAAACATTAAAAACCCAGCATGCCTCTTCTCTTTGCATCGTTCCCAAACGAATCCTGCAGAACCGATGCTGATATTTTTCAGATATAACCAAAATCTGTTTTGTCCGTGTTCCGACTCTGCGTATGTTTGGATTTGATGTTCACCGCATCTCCCCTTTAAAATCAGTCTTATTTTTGAGAATTTATTTTGAATGTTGAATGGACATATTTACCCGTGAGATTGTATCTGCTGTATGATTTTCTTGGCAGCTACCGAGAAACAACTGGCAAATATTAAAGAGACATGGATGGATGGAAAAGAAAAGGAAAAAACGAGCGTTCCACCTAAACTCAGGTCGAACAGCAATCAAGTAAATATCAAGTTCATGATGGAGAAACCAGCGATGATGTAAAAGAGAATATGTGCAGGCTCAGGCAAATTAACTTTTGATTATTATCTTTGATTCTTCTGAAAGCGTTTCAGTATTCAGCGCTACTTACAATTTGATTGTTTGAGTGTAATCTCCACGGACTGAAACCTTCAGATAACCTTCATAGCCACGTCACTGCTCCACGTCACTGAGAAAGTCTCATATCTTGGATTCCAAAGAGGAAAACATGAACAGAAGCATCTTTTAACATATTCTTTAAGGCAAACGGCATTGGTTTGTTTTGCTGAATTGATCCAACATTATGCACTTGATTTCCAATTCTAACGGGTGCACACACACACACACACACACACACACACGCACACGTACACACACACACACAGTGAAGGTTACATAGTGTGGTAAATGGTGCTGGCAGTTTTCTTTTTAAGCCGTCGCAGGGGTTGAGTCCTTCCATATTGCTGCCTTGGTGTCAGAAACATCAGCCCAGACCGGTGCAGCGAGTCGTGGTCAGCGGTGGGGGGTTCTCCTGTCGGCGGACTGGATGGTGTCGAGGCTCCTGGTGAGGCTTCTGCGGCTTCAGAAAGCGGCGCCGCGGCCGCGCCGAGGACTTCTGTTGAGGAGGGGGAGCTTTGAACCCGCAGCTTCTTGGACTCGTCGCTCGCCGTGTGGGCCGGAGGTCGGGCTGAAGATGGCGCCACAGAGGAGCGGCTGAGCTCACTCAGGTCGTTCGCGAGCAGCTCCAGACAGCCCAGCTTGGCCAGAGACGCCGAGCGCTTCATTAGGGATGGGGGGGTCAATCCGGCCTGCCGAATCCGCGCCTCCACCTCTCGGACCCTCTTCTGGATGCCGCAGCCTCGATTCTGAGTGGTTCCAGCGCTGAGACCCAAGAACTGGCCCACGCGCCTTTCCCGACACGCTCCGCCCATGCTGACCTGCTGCAGGAAAGCCCCGAGCTCGCACAAAGTCTCCCAGGTCTCCCTCATGATAATGTCACTGTGAGGTCCCTCTGCGGAGCAGCCCCAGTCGGTGCCTGACTCCAACTCGGTCACGCCCTCCAAACACAGGAAGTTCACAGAGGCAAAGGCAGAATGGGCTGGGCGGTGGAAAGAAGAGGTAGAGAGCAATTTAATTTCAGCAGCCTTAAGTTTGTGTTCTTTTGTGCTTTTGTCGTTATGTTCTAGTGCACCTGCATCAGCTACGTCCCCACTACCCCTTTTCACTTGTGCAGACTTATCACCATTCTCCTGCTCTCCCTGCACAGTGTTGACTTCTGATACCTGCGGGCCAACTGATACGTTGGGTGCGTTTGACATTGTTGCAGCGTGGACGCTGGGTGGACGCCGCTGACAGCCGGACGTGCTGCCGGAGAGGGACGGAGGAGACGAGGAAGGCGACGGAGTCTCATGTTCCTGTTTCATTCTTTGCTCCAGCTGTCGTGTGACGCGGCGCACGGACCCCCTCGTCCAATCGTTGCACAGAACAGCAGGAGATGCCTCCTCCTCTTCGTCTTCTTCTTTGTTTTTCACTTCCTCTTTAGCATTCTCAGGTTCCTTCAGTGATGAAACATCTCCCTCATCCATTTCCGGCCTCAACTTCCCCGCCTCCTGGCCCGGGGGGCCTTGTGGCTCTGTGTGCACTACAGGCTTCAGGGCTGTGACCTGCACTGGGTTAGTCATTTCCTACAAAGACAAGAGAGATCATATTAAAGGGCCAAAAATAACTTGTAATATATCCGTATAGAAAAGAAAAACATTAAAAGTAAGAAGTGTTCTGATGTTACACCATTAGATGGCGCCTAGGTCTAAAAAGAAAAAAAAAAAGAAACAAGGCAAACAAGACACAAATTCGATACAAATTTACTTTGTTGCAAATATAGCAAAGATTCACATTTTTTATCAAATATGATTTGGAGAATAGAAATTACAATTAAATAAAACAAAACATCCACCTTTGAGGAATACGGATGATAATCTATCTGCCCAATGAAAATAACTGCAGTTGTTTTGGAAGACGCAGCAGCCATACCTTTCTTTTCTCCTCTTCCTTCCCCTCAGCAATGGAGACCTCCGGAGGCAGCGGTTGTGGCACCTTCCCACAAGTCCTCGGCTGCACTGCAGCACAGTGACTTTTTCCATCTTGACTCATTCCCTTGAACTTCTCTCTGGCACTGAAAAAGTTAATGTGGTCAGGGCTGTGGCCGAACGACGCCTTGCTGCCGTGTGGGATGGCACTGTGGTGGCTGATAAAATCACAAGTGGAGGGAGAATGTGCTGGGAAACCGTCCAAAGACAAGCCACACATCTGTTGGTCACAGTCTGTGTTTTTGACAGGCACTGGCGCAGACGAACACCGGGGTCCAGCCTGTTGTGTGCACAGGTTTTCCGTCGTCAAGGGCTCAGGGAACAACATTAGCATTGGTTTCATCGCAGGTGGAGAGCAGGGCAACGCCGGATGTTTGATGACCTCATCCTTGCAGACTGGAGCTGGGGATGCGGGCGGCTGAGGCTCGTCGGGCACCTCTTGGGCGGCACTCGGCTGGGAGAGGGGAGGTGCCGGGGGCCGCCCCCCAGAGTCGCACAGGCCGTTGGCGAGCGGAGGGGAGGACAGAGACGCAGAGCGGGCCGTCGACTCGGGACAAGCGGAGCCCGGCTGGCTTATTTGGGCTTCAGTAGAATGAGCAGGGAGTTTGAAGCTTCGAGCTCGAGTGTCGCCCGATAGAGCTGCCATGCCATCGAAGGACGACGAGCTGAACTGATGGGAGTGGATGCCGGTGTCGGGCTGGCTAGCAGAGTGCGTCGCTTTGCCAGTGACGACCGTGGTTCCCAGTGACTCCAGGAGTTCTTTCACAGTAGGACCCGGCGCGCTGCCGGCCTGGTTATGCGGGTCGGAGCGACCCAGGCTGTGCGGTTGGGCGTGGCATCTAGACAGCGCCTCGTGGTGCTCCGATAGGTCGCTGTCGGAGTGAGAGCGCCACAGTTTGTTGTGCCTTTGCTTGCTGTGGGGGAGTAGAAAGGAAAGTGTTTCAGAAGCTATATTAAAAAAAATCCTGTTGTACATGCATCCTACACCCTGAAATACAACCTAAATAAATACTACGTGTGTTTGTTTATGTGGATACCTGGCGAGCAGTATGCCCTGGTACTCCTCCAGCTGTCTCATAAAAGAGGGGTTAGGTTTGGTCACAGCTCGGCGCTCCTTGACGTAATCAAAGGCCTTTTTCAGGTCCCAGCCGTGCTCCTTCATGGCGTACGCAATCACTGTGGCTGCAGACCGACTTATGCCCATTTTACAGTGCACCAGGCACTTTGCTCCGGCTCTCCTGGAGAAGATTTGAATAAGTAACTAATCCATCCATCAGTCAACAGTTTGGTAAGGCAATGGTTTTTTTTTTAAAGGAGCTCAAACACTGCTGTCACAAGATGAGCAGATCAGAGAAGAAACAGGAGAACATGCAGACTTCAGAAACTCACTGGGCTCTAGATATAAACTTGTAGGTGTCGTTCCAATAAGCGAGCAGGTCAGTGGCCTCCTCGTCGTAAACACGGATGTTGTGGTACTCAAACACGCCGGGGAAGAAGTTATCTATCTCCCTTGTTACATTCAGGATGTACTGAACCCTGAGTGAGAATAAGAGGAACGATGAAGAGAAGGCTTATGCAGTCTGTCAAGAAAACATCAGAAAACATGCAATTCTAAATAAACGATCTGGGTCTTATTCTATAATACTTTGTCTTTATCGACTTCAGTTCAGCTTGTGTCGTTTTTGTTGCCCGCCCCCTCTCTTACCCGCTTTTCTGCAACTCCTCCATATTGGATGCATTCCACTCAGATCCCTTTAGGAAAGAAAAGCAATAGTTCAGAGCCCTTTTCATAATGCTTAAATCCTGTTGCAAAGCATGCCGGACAGCCATTGTGCACTCCAAACCAAACAAGAGCCCCAAGCTAAATTTATCACATTTCAAATTAAACATGACAATCTCACAGTTTACCAGGTTCTTATTGATTGATTTGTGATCTGGATGTTTTTCACCCCGTGGACTTCGATGTAAAAAGACCCCCACTTTTGTCGATGCAGCAGGACCTACCAAGAAGACATGATCAAAGATCTCCGTGGGACTGTCCATCTGGCCCAAAATGAGAATCATCTCATTGTCAATGAACTCCTTGAACTCTCGCAGGTTGCATGTCATATGCATTTCCAGCTCCGTTCGAATCTACGGAACACATCAAGCCAGAGAGGAGACCAAATTGAAAAAGCAAATCTAAACCTAAAAATGATTCTACATTTTCTTTTAAATTAAATACTGGTGCCTAAAATGATAAAAAAAATATATGTCTTTTAGGGAGTGACCTAATTTGTTGGCATGGATCTTTCAGTGACAGGTGCATCTGTTTTAAGCACCGACTCACCTCTTTGCAGGTAACATTCTCGAGGTCTTTCTGCATCATTATCTCCCTCAAACTGCTTTTGATCTGTCGCTCTGTCAGCTCTCTCCCCGTAGGTCTGCAGAAACAATAATAAATAAATACAAATAATTGTACGTCGAGGTAGACCACATCCCACGTAATCTTGATACTTACGCATCGGAGAAGAGCACAGGCGAGTCGGCGCGGTGCGACTGCACATCCTGCATGGCGTTCCACTCGTTGATGCGCGCCTGGTCGGAGCAGACCCTGCTTTGATAGTAGCTGACCCAGGTGAGGAACAAGCTTCCCGGGAAGTAGTTGTGACAACGAGCCACCTCGCAGGCTTTATGGAGGGACTGGAGGGCCGACCTGCGAGCAAGTCGTTGAGGGGAGAAAGAGAGACAGGAGATGAAGGGGAGGGTTTGACAGAAAAATAACAATCAAGTAAAACGCCGGGGACGCGCTTAAGATACTGAAGGTGAACGCTTGCAAACAAAAAATATGGCAGATAATTGGGGGATTAAATGCGCCGTGACTCACCACATGGCCTGCACAGAAACCGGCTTGAATACGTGCACTTTGTTATCGGTTGACACACTGAAACCCCTGGGAGCAAGAAGAGAGGGAACACAGCGGAGGAGAAAGATATTCAAAAATAAACAAGACACACATCACTCCTCTTTGCATCCTGGTATCAAGTTTGTGCATGTGTGCACTTTGAAACATATTGGATACTTTCTTACCCGTCTCCGTCCAGATGGATCAATGTGTCGCTCCATAAGGGTAAAACCATCCCTACAGAACACGAGCTGAGGAGATAAAAAAAAACCTCTGTGTTACAACTTAATCCAGCGTATCAAACAGACGGGAACATTATGCATTTGTCCGTTTCTGCTTCACCTATCCACAGGACAGAAATCCATTCCCAGCACCACGCTCTCCTCCGTGTCCTGCCGGCCGTTGGTTGAGACCACCACCATGTAGCGAGTGATCTGAGTGTGTACGCTCTCCAAACGAACCGCCTGGAGCAGGAAAGACACAAAAGACGTCTTTGCAGCTTGTCAACTACCCGAAGACTGAACTGTCAGTGTGCGCGTTGGTGAGCACCCACCAGTTTGATGTTGTCCTCTGGTCTGAGAAGAGTGAACATGGTTTGTAGATGCAGCTGGATGTCTCCTGGTAGGATGAGAGAAATAAAAAAACACATATTTGATCAGAGTTCAAATCCGTAGCTCTGAATGCTGAAATGCTTCTTTTTTTTTAACCAACCGCACTATTAATAGTCAACAGTCACTTCTTCTCAATTAGAAACGTTTAACCTCACCTGCATGTTTGCTTCGCAGCTGTGAGAAGGGAGAAACAGACAAGGGAGAAGAGCCATTTCCTCGAGGTAGGAAGAGAGCAGCTCCTTTAACTGTCAGGAAACTTTCACTGATGCTTGACAGAAAGAGAAAAAAAACAAATCAGTAATAGCCACCCATGATTAATAACAATCAATCATTCTGGAAAGGCACTTTTTCCCCTTTTCTTTTCCAGAGTCGTGCGCCACCCTAGAAAGTATTTCTCTGAAAGAAGACCCACAATTGAGTTTGCACTCTTCCATCAACATTCCATCACAACAAAGTGATACTTGACAGACTAAACTCTGGCTTGGCTCAGGTGATAAAAACACATGTGAATACCAGGGATCCTTTGCAGGGTTTGTTCTCTAAAGACACTTGGCTAGCATATCAACTCCATCCTCCGATGAATGAAACATCTGTAACAGGTCCTTTCCTGCTGTGCTCCCCGTAGATGCGGTCATGTCACATCATTTTTTTTTTTTTAAACATTCACATGGAACATGAAAAGGGAACAAAAATCTTTTCCTGCTGCGAATGTGCCACCAAATCCTTCCCTCCAAGTCATTATGGAAAAATCCCATGCATTAGAAAGCAGGGTAACAGAATATAAACCGTTCCCATTGAGACAGCGAGAATATAGAGACAGAATATAAAGGGAAATTAATAAAAAGGAAACGTTTTACTGGCATGAATGGATTCATGTGATAAAATGTACTTCACAAACAAACACACGCATGACAAACACCTCAAGGACTTGAAATTCATGAGTGTTTCCTTGGACCTTGAGTCCCAACTGTTCCTTAAAGTGAACATATTACCACATAGAATGCAGCAGGAAGGCGTTGCTCCAAAAGATGCCCATCAGATCACGCTCACTAGATATGAACATCCGATTCATACAAATATTACTTTGTACTTTTTTCGATTTTTTGGCACATTTTTTTTTTATTCATGCCAATAAAGCCCCCATCAGTTGAATTTACCCTGACCGGGATTGAACACCAGACATAAACATTACTCACTCAGGAATAGCACTTATTTTAGATTTGTTTCCAGTAAAATATTTTGTGACTTTTACCGTTTTCAAAATGACCGTTGCGGCTCTAGAACCTGAATATAAAGACAGTTTGTAGAAGACACAGTCTTGTTATCCAATGCCATCCACGGACTCTTAACAACCTACATGTTTATGTTTGAGGTGTTGGGCTGATCTCTCAAGTTCCAACTTAAGAGTCCTTTCAATCGACTGCTGAAATAAAAACCGTCCAATTACAAGCAGTGGAGGCTTGTGTATTACGTGCAAGCAGACAGATACCGAACACTCCTCTGTTACCCCGAGTCTCCATACAAACAGACAGCCAGTCACCTTAGTGATCACACACACACACACACACACACACACACACACACACACACACACACACACACACACACACACACACACACACACACACACCAGTAGTCTTGTATGAATTGTGCGCAGACAGGAAGTCATTCTGACTATTTACAGTGTAAATTATCTGCCAGAAAACGTATATATTACATTAAAAGAAACACAATTCGGAAATTTGGGAGGCACACAAACTCTGTGTAGGATAAATGGAAAATACTATTAACATATTGAATCCAAAAATATATCTTTCCGATTTAGACGATTGCACAATCATGACTCAATCCTCGCATGAATAACGATGTGGCTTATAAAAGACTCTTTCCCTCCTTGATTTGCCCCCCTTGTGGTTCCACCTCTGACGTTGCTGCTTCCGCTGACGTCATTGCTCTGCCGAGGCCGCTGACTTTAATCAGCAGCACTGCAGCTTAGACAGACAAACACACTGCATCCCCAAAGCCGTATTCCAGTCTGCATTAATGTTGCCACCTGTTTCAAAGAGGAGCTCTGCAGCAGCTGCTGTTTTCCACGGCACAACAAACACTGTCATCGCCCTATGGGAACATTCATTCTGTATTCCAGTAAGCAGGGTTACTTTGAAATAAAATATATATATATATATATATATATAATAAATTAAAAAAATAAAAATATATATATATATATATATATATTTATTTTTTTTTATTTTTTTTATTATATATATATAATAAATTAAAAAAATAAAAATATATATATATTTTTATTTATTATATATATATATATATATATATATATATATTATATATTTAAAATCCTTTTTTTGTCTCTTTGCCAACACATCTCAGATAATGTGAACAAACATCAGCTACAGCTTGGACTTCATTCACGGGCAGTGAAATGTTTAATGCTTTGTTGCTTGTATCTTGGAATAGGGAAATATCTGGCTTCTGCAGCTCTGTACAACATGCGCAGCTATACATGGACCAACTCCTTAGAACTTGATATTCATATGAGTAAGAAGGACGTGGCCCAGCATATTCCACAAAGGACCCCTGCTTTGATGGTTAAAATCAATTTAGTCAAAATATGTGAGTTTGCATGAAAGGAGAGCAACAGTGGCCAAATGGTGGTAAAACAGGACATTTAAAAACAACATTACTTTACAAAAAACAGTGAAGGAAAATGACATCTAATCCGAAACACACAGCCCGACTGTGTGAATGTCAGAATCATGACATATAGATTTCACTCCCAGCCGCACACGTACAGAAAGCCCTCTCGGTTGAATGGCAGAGAGCTCCAATGACCAGATAGAGGCGCTGGGACTTTGGGAGGGGCTACCAATCTGCCCCTGGATCCCTTGACCCACATACACACCCTGAGTCATATGGAGCCCACTGCCCTCTATTGGACAGCTCGTAAACCGCAGTTAATCATCTTCACCGTGAGAGGATTTCAAGATTTGATCGGTTATTAAAAAAGTACCAAACCAAACAAAGCTGGAGGTAAGAGCGTCACTGATCCATCTGCTCCCGGGTATAATGCGTTTGTTGAACAAATAAACACAGCAGGCATTTGAAAGAAATTACTGATTGCTGCTGGACAAAAAGAACTGGGAAATGTGGTTGAGTAAAAACAGGATAAACCAGATTCCAACTTCAGTATAACGCCAGAAGCAACAAGGGACAGAAGTCGATTGTGAGACCATGAAAGCACAGCAGCTCGCTGTATCAGCAGCATTTAGTGATTCCTCACCAAGTGATTCTTCAGGCAAAGTATTTTTCGCCACCTTTTGTCTGCGTCGGACCCTGTCGAGGTCAGAGGTCGCAGGCAGCCAAATGCCAAATGCCAGGCCCTCAATTCCAACCTTTCAGTAGCTCATTGGCTTATTAACCACTTGGCCTGGCAATGCAACTCCCCCGAAACCTTGTTCATAACAGTTATCACAGCACATCCTCTTTGTAAGGGAAGTGGAAAGAGTTGTTTTTGGTTTGTATTTTGCTGTGAGGTCACAGATCTTACCTCCTCGGCTGAGAACGACGGTCATCCTCCCCACTACCAGACTCCTAAAGAGAAAGAAATCACATTCATTTACACACAAGTATATCCAATGAAGCTGATTCTGGTTCAGTACAATATTTGGCATTTAACAAATGCGCATTAGAGACACAATAATATTTATTTATTTATCTTTTTTTTTTTTTTTACTTTGATCTGAAATGGTTTTATAATTAAGAGAACTACATTGAGCACATCCCAACACATTTATAAATCATATTTTTCTACAGCAGCAAATAGCTGCGTCTGTGTAGAGTCCAAAAATAAGTTCACCTAGATTGAGAACAACTATTTTTAGCATTATTTTGGTTTTACCAAATTCAATTATAGTGCTCTGTAAAGCATTCATTTTTACAAAAGTACTGTATCAGTAAAGCTATGACTAGTGGCAAAGCCCACCCTTCAAATTAGAGTGAATTACAAGTGGTAAAATGTCAAATACGCTTCGACTTGGACAAAATTACGTAATTAAACAAAAACCTATCGTTAATGATTGTAAAAATAACACACCGAGTGCATTTACATACAACAACACAAGCAGAGACAAGCAGACACAGTGCAGAGAGATTAACTGGAATGAAAAGTTCAGCTTCCACTCAATTTGTTCACACTCCAGGAAAATGACCTCAGCCTGTTTTTAAGGTGCGGCTCGTCAGAGAATAATACATTCATGTACAAAAAGAGACAAGTTCAAATCACATTGTGACATATGTAGCTTTGCAAAGTGAGAGGGATACGGATTAGTGGCAGATTAACACCTGGCACTTGTCCTTATCTTATTCACACAGTAGGCTTTACTATCCCTGAATACAGCACAAAAACCATTACCAGCGTCATAGAAGAAAGAAGTGGATCACAGGTTGATGAGCATGGAGAGAAATATGAGTCTGCAGGAGTGCTCGTCAATTTCATTTGCGAAATTGTATAGAATTGTTAAGTTCAGGCAAAGTAATTGTTGAAGCAAAGTACGAAAGGGTCCACCAGACGTTACTGGTGGAGTTTGTGACTCTTGCAGAACCACCGAGCCACTTTATTCAAAGCAAGTTTCCATTGTGGACTCTCTAACTCAAATACTTCAAACAGATCTTGTGGATCTGTGAACACCTCATGTAAAGTATGTGATCCCGGAACCAAAGTGTCAAACAGGTTGCTGCATTCAGGAGGAAAACTTCATTTTTACTGTAAACTACACAACACTGGAGTTTAAGTTTAGTTTTGCTGGTAGTTGTTTTAGCAGTTGTGTACGATTTCAACCAAACTTTGTAAAGATTGAAAAACAAACATCAGATTTTACATTTATTAAAATGTGCAAGGGTTTTCCCGAAGCTTATGGAAATGTGTAGCCCGCATGTGCCGGCTGGCCAGGGATCTTCAGGGCAGGAGTCACAAGTTACAGCATCTACCCAGCAGGTTAAAAATGGCTTCAGCCCTCAAGGCAATATACCGTATTTTGCGCACGAAAAGACGCACCGCATCAAAAGGCGCACCTTCAATAAATGACGTATTTTAATTATTTTTACATATATAAGGCGCATCGCATCATAAGGCGCACCTTTAATAAAACGCTTCGCATAAGGCGCTAAAGTAGAGGCTGGAGTTACGGTGCGTTATGCATCCATTAGATGCATAACGCATCCATTAGATCAGGGGTCGGGGACTTATGGCTCGCGAGTCACATGTGGCTCTTTTGACGACTGCATCTGGCTCTCAGATAAATCTTAACTTATATTCCTTAACACGATATGTAAGAAATAATTCCGCTGGAAATCACAGTGTTAAAATAACGATCACACTGTAACTTAGAGCTTTAGCTGCTTGGGCTGTTTCCGCAGAGATTTTGACTCTTACAAAGATCATCGCTGTATGAAACGATGCCACACTCTGTGATATTTCCTGACAATAGAACGCTAGTCACGCACAGAGAGAGAGAGAGTGTGTGACATCCTCACTGCAGAAAGGATCTGTGTTCACACAGACACAACAGCGCTGAACCAAACAGGTGACAGCGTCTTAGCAGAAGTGGAGCGCATTTCACTTTTCCTGCGTTTTACTCGTTTTTAATTAATTAAGTGCAAATAAATCTTGTGCTTATCAACGATTAGCGCCAATTTGTGATTTCAATAAATATACTTAAAATATTTTGGTCCTGTGGTGTGCCTCGTGTGTGCCTGACTGATGGATGCGTTATGCATCTAATGATTAGCAGTCAGATAGGTCAGTCAAACTTTATTAACAAGAAAACAAAACAACAAAGCAACAAGCAACAAGAACAATAATAACTCTGTAAACGTAAAGCTCACTTTCTCAGTTCCTTATCTAAAATCCCTCGAAAACTTCTTCTTCCGTGTCCGAATTGAACAGCTGGGCTATTGCGGCATCCAAAACGCCTGGCTCCGTCTTATCAAAGTCATCATTAACCGAGTCAGTGTCGCTGCTGTTGTCTGGCAGTTCGGTGACAATTCCTGCCTTCCTAAAAGCTCGGACCACAGTTGTGACTGATATACCAGCCCAGGCATTTACTATCCACTTGCAGATATTAGCATATGTCGTCCGGCGCTGTCTCCCCGTCTTGGTGAACGTGTGTTCGCCTTCGGTCATCCACTGCTCCCACGCAGTTCGCAGTCGAGCTTTGAATGCTCTGTTGACGCCAACATCGAGCGGCTGGAGTTCTTTTGTTAATCCACCCGGAATGACGGCGAGCACTGAATTAGTGTGCTTCACTTGTTTTTTGACATGCTCGGTGATATGTGCGCGCATGGAGTCATAGATCAATAGGGACGGAGCTGTGTGAAAAAAACCACCCGGTCTCTTCACATAAATTTCTCTCAACCACTCACTCATCTTTTCTTCATCCATCCATCCCTTCGAGTTAGCTTTTATGACAATGCCAGCTGGAAAGTTTTCTTTCGGCAAGGTCTTCCTCTTGAAAATAACCATGGGTGGAAGTTTGTGGCCATTAGCCTGGCAGGCGAGAACTACAGTGAAGGACGTTTTCTCATTCCCTGTGGTGCGAATATTCACCGTACGTGCTCCTGTTTTATCCACAGTGCGGTTTACAGGGATATCGAAGGTGAGTGGAACCTCGTCCATATTGATGATATGCTCTGGCTGGATCTTTTTTTCAGTTATCTTGTTTCTGCAGTATGTGCGGAAAGTGGCCAACTTTTCCTGATAATCAGCTGGTAGTTGTTGTGACACAGTAGTGCGCGTACGGATGGAGAGATGACGTCGTTTCATAAAACGGAAGCACCAAGAAGGACCGCCTCTGAATTCACTGATGTTATGTTCGCGAGCTAGCGCTATTGCCTTCATACGAATTGTGACTGTACTAACACTTCTGCTTGCTGCTCTTTGTTCAGCAACCCACTGTTCAACTTTGTCCTCTAACTGTGGCCATCTCGCTTTGTTCCCGCGGAAACTCTGTGTTGTCTTCTTTACTTGGCGGAGCTCATCCTCATACTTCCTCCACTTCCTCACCATTGATTCATTGATATTAAATTCTCTCGCTGCTGCTCTATTGCCGTGTTCTTGTGCGTGGCTTATCGCCTTGAGTTTAAACTCAGCGTTGTACGCGTGTCTTTTGGTAGGAGCCATTTCAGGGTATTTACAAAAATATTAAAATGGAAATGAAACGCCAGTTTCCCGGTATCCCAGCATGCACTGCGCACTATTACGGGAGAAAATCGAGTCGCGGCTGCTTACCGTAACTGAGACCTGTATGCGTTTTAATACTGGGCCATATACAAGGCGCATTGTATTATTAGGCGCATGATCAGCTTTTGAAACGATTGAAGGCGTTTAGGTGCGCCTAATCGTGCGGAAAATACGGTACTGGGTTATTTCAACAAACACCCTTATTATGAAGCAGACACACCAGCTGGACGGGTTTAACGTATAGTTTAAGTAAAGATGGTGGAAAAAAAGTTTTCATCTCAGAGAGACACACGCAACCCCCCCCCCCCTACACACATGACATGACAGCAATCGACAGGAAACCAGACACGTCTGTGCGATGCGTTATCACTGAATGTGTGTGCGGGTTGCAACTTGAAAGCATATTTCCCCAGAGAAAATCCTTCACGTCACCCCAGTCTGCCTCACCTTGCTAAATTACTCATATGCACGTCTTCTTCCTCTACTTTTACAGGTCGTCTTGATGAGAGACAACCCGGCTCACATCACTAACATACATGATCACGCGAAGGACATACTAAAGTGAACGCTGTCACGTAAATGATGTGCTCCATTATACTCATTACTACTAATACTAATCCAATCATTTTCTGTTTAATCTACACTTGCTTATGTTGGGTAGCTCTGGACCAGTTGTTATCATCATGAGAAAGTTTTGACGGACGGGGTCGCTTAGAAGGCCACTGAGCTTTTTGTAGAAAAAAAAAATGTAATTCAGGACATAGTGAGGGTGTCAAAAGTGACAAATTTTCCACACAGAAATTGCAATCTACAGCTGCGTAATAGCAAGGTAACCGACGGAACAGTTCTGATATTGCTCATTCTTTAATGCACGCTGAGAGGCAATTAGACGTATCTTATGGAAGCCGTCTCCTGGGTGCTTTGGGCCACTGTGTGCAAACTTCACGACTCAATGAGCACGACCGCTCAACGGCCACACCAGTTATTGTGCATTTGGTTTCTGAACTTTTTAACCATTTGTTAATTCGAAAGCAGAACACTGCAGTCTGGTCGCCCGTTCCAAACACACACAAGATCAGTGTCGCATTATAAAAGTTGATATACATATACAACGTGATGTGTGATTTTATCCATATTGGCCACTCTTCTGATTTACATCTCACCGGTTATATTCCCATTCAGAAGTTACAAACAGTAATACTACGGGAAGTTAAGTACACAATAGCGAAAAAACACCTGTTCCTCTGCTTTGCAAGAACACACACACACACACACACGTGTATGAGATGGCTGGGAGAATGCACACAATAACAACGGTAAATACCCGCATCTATGCGTCAGGCGGCGCTCATTACGAGCGGAAGTACGTTACATGTGTCATACCTCTTTAACTAGAACCCATTGCCGCTGGCAGAACAACAACATAACACGTTCTCCCCGCCCGATGGATGGAATTCGGTATAAGTGTTTTATCGCGGCCAGTAACGGTGCTAGCCGACGCCAGCTAGCTAGCTAACGCCAACCGCCACTCGGACGTTGGAACTGGCGGAAATGAGCATATACAGGAACCATGTCAACAGCGGAGTTCAATAGGAACACCAGCAGAAGAGGAAGCGGTATTTTCCCCGTCAGCTAACGTGGTCAGAAGGCAGCGACTTGTCAAACTGCAGTAAAAAATAATAATAAAACATTTCCGAGCGGGTTAATTTAGCAGCGAGAAACCACACTGATAATGTAACAGACAACGATGAGCGGTCATATCTCACGCATGCGCAGACGTGTAAAGGCAAGGCACTTCATGATAGTCGGCAGCCGACGGGGGGGGGGAAAGACAGCGGAAACGGAGCCTGCAAACTGCGTGCGACGGCAAATACGTCTGCGTTTGTTCGCCGTAGCGGCGGTCGCGGCCCGGGGTTCAATAGAAGGCGACTCTCACCGAAACGCAGGGGCTGGAGGTGGTGCTGGGGGTCGGCGAACGCTGCACGGTAACCAGCGCCATTCAGCGACCGGGAAGCGGACACCAGAGATGAAGCGGCGGCGGCGAGACGAGCATAATGGATTTGAGATGGAGAAAGCGCAGCCGAAGCCCCGGTGTTGGTCTAATCTCGTCGCGCTCGCTCCTTCTCTCTCCGGCCGTAGAATATTTGACTAGTCTCCGGTTGATTTCCTCAGTCGGCGGCGCCCTGCGCATGCGCAGCTCTCCTCGGTTTGTCAATCTCGATTAACCGCATACGCGCCGGACGTCGATGGAGCAGCCGCGGTGTCTCGCGCAAACAAAAACGCTCGCAGCTACTGATTTATTGTGGCTCATTGTAAGATACAAGTAAACATCGACCGTCACGGGCAAATAACGACCCTACAACGGATAATGTATGTTATCAATCTATATTGCATTTCCATAAAGTTATGGAGTTTGCGAGAGTCAAATTAAAAGATGACCTTTGTTGAATTGATAAATTGTTTTTTAGAAGAAACATGGAAGCCTCAACATTTGGTGAATCCTCAGTAGAAGGTCACACACATCCAAGCCAAAATACTATCTATTCAACACACATATACTAACCTGGGTGTGAATTGAATCTCAAATGACTGGAATTTATGTCTTGTCAGCTCTTGATTCAAACTTCAGTTTGAGTAAAATTCCCTTTATCCCTAAATCAACTTCTACAGTCAATATGCCAATTCTAAGACTGAAATAAAAATAAGTAGGTGTGTTGTTCATTGTTCAAGAGAGTTCAGTCTTAACCTGTAGTACTTCAAGGCTGCAGTTTAGAAAAGACGAGAGGCCAGTCTTCTGGTAGGTTATGGGTCAGAGGTCATATGATCTTTACCTACATGTATGATCCTCGGTGAAGTTGATGTACTGCGCAGAGGAATACATCCAGGGATATTTCATGACTCCTGACGCATAGTCTGCCTGACTGAACCTGCACCATTACACTTTAATCTTCTCTGCCTGAAGGCACAGATTAGGGATAGTACCAACTATAGCCTGCCTCAAAACTCAAATGTGAAGTATGTGTCACGCACACACACAGCAACACAGCACAGATCTCAATGCATGCAGGTAGCATGTATTTACACTCTCCTGCTACACATCGATGAACCAGAATTCACTAAACATGACAGATATTCACAGGTCTATGGCCAGGCTAAAACAATACACAGCTGTTTAAATAATGAACAGTTGTTTTCCGCTTGTTTTTTGTAACCACAAATTACCTCTTAATTATTGGTGTAAAAAGAGGTATTTTGGACCCTATAGCTACCATGTGAAGTGATGAATTAATCCTCTCGTCCTACCAATCCATTTATCAACGTGCTCAGTTATTGTTATTACAACTACATCAGTCTATTCAACCTTCCATCCACTCTGTTTGTAGAAGCGGGATTAGCAGTGAGGTCAGAGATGAGATGGAGATTACGACAGAAATAATGTTGTTTGGATTTAGAATCACTCAGAGGAGGCAGTGGGAATTCAAAGCTGCAGCTTCAATCAAAGGTGAGCCACATGGTGTCTGAACTGATTTAAAAGGACTTCCCACGAAGGTAAAGAACAGAGCCGCTAACATCATTGAGTGTATCGTAACATTATATAAAATGAGCAAATAACAGATGCCAAAACTGTCTTTATTTTCTCTTCAGTAATAATAGCAGATTCACTTTCATTGCAGTTTTCTACAGCTACTTATGTATGGATGCAGAAACCTATATAGGTCTTTGAAAAAGCCTCAACAGGCTTCAAAATATTGTTTCATAATGAAAACAAGATGCAGCATGTGATGCGTATACCAACACAACATATTTACTATCAAAACCAAAGCTTGGAAATCCACCGCTGCATTAGCAACTGCTATTAAGGGGAAATGTTTCTACCCAAAATCTCCACTTTTCTTTTAAAAGATGACAAAAGAGTTGGGTATATTTTTAATACTCGAGAAGACTATGAACTGAGATGAGCAAAAGCACCAAAAGCAAGATCTCCAATGCATTTACTCAACCAAGTGTCAATACATACAGAGTAGAAATTCAGGGAGAAATAATGCTCTTATGTTCGGCTTTTTGCAAGGGACTAATACATCATCAAGTAGAATTTGGAGAAATAGCACCATCTGTTAGTAATTCAAAACCATTCATTTTGCATTGTAATGTTCTACCCATACACTCCATGGTTTTAAACATTGGGTTTATGGGTCAATGGCGATTATTGTGTTTACAAAAATAAGGGGCACACAGATCTGTATTGATGTTTTTTTTTAAATCGCGATATGTCAAAGCAAACGCAACGGCCAATAATTTATGTACATATACATATATAGAAATATGGCCATTTTGTGCGTACATTTCAATGTCATTTATTACTTTACTTTGAGAAATTATATATGATATTTGGTTGTATGTTATTAAATGATAAAATGTTGTGTCGAATCTGTCGTGCTCAATCACAGTCTGCACAGCAAGATGGCGGCCCCTACCAAACAGTAAGTTGTAAAAAGCAAAGAGGCGACTACGCCACTGTGTGATTGACATTTAAAGACAACTGATTCACGTGGTTGGGGTTGTAGTTGTAGTCATTTCAAAGAGGCGTAGTCTAGTGTGCTAGAGCAGCCGTGGTGTTACAGCTCAGGATCATTTGTGAAAACGGTGGTTCTCCCTTCTGCAGCTAACACTAGCTAAGCTAACTGGTGTTAGTTCACGAAATGCTAACTTCACTATTATAACATCTAACGTTACGTTAGTAAACTGGCTGAAATAAGGCCATTTTTTACGGTTCTGCCGATTTTCACCTTTTCAATCTTGTCATTTATATAACAACTTGCCCTTCAATTACTTTTGTTTTTGTAACTCACTAAAGACAACTTGCTAGGGACTGTTTCGCAGCTAAAGATAGTCATTCATAACGCCAGCTCACGTTCATTTCGTAGGTTTGGTATAACGTTTTTTATTTTGTTTCTCTTGGGCATAACATTTTACAATACTCTTATTATTTTCAAATTGTCAACTGTGTCTTAAAGCCTTTGAAACAAAAATCACATAAATATCGCCTCTATTGCGACAACGTGTATTTTAGCTGGTTGCAGATTGCTGACAATACTAGTTATGCCGTTTAATTGATCGTAACTAATCTAAAGGCTGGAGACAAAATCTCTTGTTCTCACTATTCAGATAGGTCATTTGCACAATGACAAAAGCACAAAACACAAATGGCTGTGAGTTGTGGTCTCTGCAAACCTTTGGTCATTAGACTCGCGTTTAAAGTACAGAGGACTGTGGTGTGGCAGGATTCATGACCTTGTTTATTGTCCAGGTATGGGCTGATTTTGTCTCAGAAGAAATCAAAGAACCTGCTGAAACACTCCGTGTTCGAGGATGACTCTGATGACGAGGTGGGTAAACCTCTGGAGTTGTTATAAGCAGGACAAAATCATTTATCCCTTGACATTCTCCAATCACTGCATTGGACTTTAATGTCCTTTAGCTTTTATGGAAGCTAAATACTTTTTTGTATATAAAAATATATATATATGCCGGTATCCGTTGTTACTTTTCTGATTTCCGGTCAATATGTTTTGTTCCTCAGATCACAGTTGGGGAGACTCTGCAGAAAGAAGCTGTCAAAAAGAAGATGATGAAGCAGGTGAGAGGAAGAATTAAAGGACTTAATTTAATTTTGGTCAATGCACTGGTATAAACTAATTCCTCTGTGATACAGCTAATACATTTCCCTGTTCTTTCTCTCCTTGTAAAGACGCGTCTGGAGATGCACAAAGCCCTGGAACAGGACAGCTCTGTTTATGACTACGATGCTGTGTACGACGACATCCAAAAACAGAGACTTGAGACCAACAAAAAACTTCTGGGAGGCGCTGACAAAAAGGTAATGTCCTTTTGTCACCTGTACGGCTGCATTAGTCCACGCCAACATTTCAAAGGGATCCAATCAGAGACGGTTCAGTGGGTACTTAAAATATGTTGGGGCCAGATCCGGATTGTGCTGTGGTGCTGCTGTTTTGTCGATATTGAGTTCTGACATCGTACTGCTGAGGAAAATGCTTAATGTGAGCTTTAACTTCCCCATGAACATTCTCCTCTTTTTCCTTTTTGTCTTCGTTTTTGTTGCAGCCAAAGTACATTCACCAATTAATGAAGGCAGTTGAGGACCGAAAGAAAGAACAAGAACGAAGGGACGAGAGGAAGATCCAGAAGGAAAGAGAGGCAGAAGGAGAGGAGTTTGCAGATAAAGATGCTTACGTTACATCCGCCTACAAGCTAAAACTGCAGGAGCAGAAGGAGGAGCTGGAGAAAGAAAAACGAGTGGCAGCCATGGAAGGTTAGACCAATACTCTACAATTGCTTTATGCTGTAGACGGATAAAATGTTATCCTTTGGTTAACTTAACGTTATTAAATCGTATTTGGTCTATTGCCGTTGGAGAAGTATCTCCTTCCTTCAGGCACCCACAGCATAACTTGGAAGAGATATATTTTAAAAAAGTCAATTATTTGTCTGAATTATTTTTTGTTTTAATTAGCGGCTTTGGACGTGAAGAAACAGAAAGATCTGAGCGGCTTCTACCGCCACTTGCTGAATCAGACCGTAGGGGAGGAGGCGATACCGGATCACTCAGCAGACAAGTCAGTCAAAGCTTTGTAGCACTTCATTCATGAAGTTAAAAAAACAAAACACACACACATTAAAAAAAATTATTCTGCCTTTATTTGCATCTCTTTTTGCCTTCATCCACAGAACTCAAAACGCGAAGGCTTCAGAAGACGCAGTGAGGACTTCACCTGTTTCCTCAGCCGTGTGCCATGATAATATTCCAAGTTCATGCAGCGACAGCGAGGAGGGCCATGAGCAGAAATGTGGATTTAGCAAGCACGGGGCGGGTTCTGCACACTCAAAACGCCAATACAGACAGAGGTCCCCTTCTTCAGGGAGCGGAGAAGAGAAGGAGAGGGCGAAGGAGCGAGACAGACATACGAAGAGGCACAGGGATCAGGAGAAAGACCGATACAGGGGAAGGGAAAGGGACGACAGGCACGGAGGGAGAAGGGACGACAGGGACGGAAGGAAAGACAGGGACCGAGGCAGAGAAGATGACAGAAGCAGAGGCAGAGAAGATGACAGAAGCAGAGGCAGAGAAGATGACAGAAGCAGAGGCAGAGATGATGACCGAGGCAGAGGCAGAGATGATGACCGAGGCAGAGGAAGGGATACAGACAGGGAAGACCGGCATGGCAAGAGGGAGAGGAGCCCTAAGGAAAGAGAGAAGGATAGGAATGGGGAGAGAGAAAAGAGAAGGAATCCTGATGAAGACAAGCGTAGGGACAAAGATCAGGAGGAGGAGAAGGAGAGAAAGAAGCAACCAGGAAATGAGAAGGCAGTGAAGAGCGATGAAAAAGACCCAGAAAAGAAGGAAGCAGTCGGAGAAAAGAGCACGGAACTCAAAGATGATCAGAAACAGGAAGGCGAGGAGAAAGAGGATGTGGAGGAAAAGGCCAACAAGTTTGCAAAGCGCAGCACGGATCAGACTGTTGGTTCGGCGAGGGACAGGTACATGGCCAGACAGATCGCCCGCTCGTCCTCTAAGACTTACATAGAGAAGGAGGAGGACTGAGCGCTGTGCACCACAATGTAGAAGACGAGGCGTACGTTATTTAATGTCTGTCTTTCAACAAACCTCAAGAGAAAAACCACCATTGAGTTAGTTTCTTCAATACCACCTGACTTCCCTTGCTTGTTACCCAAGCCGACCGAAAAGGTAAATCTCTTAAGGCTCTTTTCAAAGCTCATTGATTTTGCAAAGCGGTTGAGCACTGTACTTTTTGCAACCTTTCTTCTAGCAGGAATAAATATAATTCTATCATGTTATTTTGCTTTTGTTGGGTATTTATTTCAGCCTTCATTCGGTGCTCTAGTGAGTATTTACTAAACTATAGAAGTGATTAAAGTATTCACTTTACTGTACTCGTGCTTCCGACCACTCAGAGCGCTTTAAAACTAAGTCGCGTCATTCACCCGTTCAAAGCCATTCATTACATTACATGTTATTTAGCTGACGCTTTTATCCAAAGCGACTTACAATAAGTGCATTCAACCATTCATACAGGAGATGCTCTGCAAGCTGCCACCTGCCCATCAGCTATGAGGCACATCGACATGTAGTAGCAGAGCCGAACTGAGTCAGAGTCGCCACTATAATTCCCATGTTCACTAATTAAAGAACATTTAAGTCAGTTCCGTAGCGAGGCTTATTGGTGTAATAGTTTTGGAGAATAAAGGTAGCCTCAGCTATCCAGACAATTCACTGTTTGTTTTAGTCCGTTTGTGGCATCTGCTGACAATAAGTAAACTATAAAAAAATATATAGCGTCCCGTGTCTTCTGACTCCACTCATTGATGGGCTGAGGACAGATTCAAACTGTAGAGTGCTGGTCTTCAATGACCAGAGACAGTTGGACAATATCTTTCTTTTGGAGTTGAATTGGTGCGTTTTGGAGTTTATTTTTTGAATGATTACGCAAAATTGTAAATATAAGTTTTAACAGTTGACCTGCGTAAAATCGCAGGACGGCGTGTATAAAGTCATTGTGTAATTTAGAAGAACGCATGAGCCAGTGATGTTGTGTTTGCTCACTTGTTGAATTTTTGTACTTTTCCCCCCCATGTAGTCAGTGATGAGTTAATAAATCGTTTCCACTTCACAATTTTCTTCTGTTGCTTCATGTTTGTTCATTTGTAGCTTGATGGTGAAACGTGTAGAAGGTTCAAGATTTCACTTCCACAATTCAGGAGGTAACTTTTATTTCGAGATTACATACACGTTATAGATGTGTTGCTGCTTTAGAGGTTTTGCACCTGAAGACATTGATTCCAGTAACAGCTTCTCTAGAGGGTCTCCAGTGTCACCCTTTGTTCTAGTTGTACATGGACAAGTTGGACCACTGAAACAAATAAAAAGGCCGTTTGGAGAACTGTTAGTATCGTTGATGCGTGAGATGACTTATTTCTGCACATTGGGTCATAAAGCCCGCAGGTGGAATGTCACTAAGAACTATACTTTTTCCATTTAATGATTTATTGCTCGGCTAGAACATTGAATTCCGCAGTGAAATATTTTCACTCTGCGACATTTAAGAGGAAACCGACTTGCCTCGGTCCAGGACAAGTGGATCACTCCGTTTGAGGATTTGTCCTTGAAAACATCTGTAAATAAAACAAACCACAAATAACACATTCATTCAAAACAATATTCATAATTGTTGATCATTATCGATAAATTCTTTGTGAGCTACGATACTTTGACATCCGGATTAAAGAAAACAAATGAAAAGCTTAATTCCTCCGCAGGGGGATTGTCCACGACACTCACCCGAGATCTTCTCCAGGCGTAACATGAGAGTGATAAAGTTCTCCATGGAGGTGTTCGACATCCCCGAGTAGCGGGCCGTCATCAGCCTCACCATGAAGTCGTCAGTGTCCATTCCTGGTGAGAAAGTTACAAATACTCCCGTTACCTTTTCTCGTTTTGCTAGAAGCTTATATTCTTCAGCTGCAATCAGAGTTTAAATTGTAAATTACCCTCATCCTCCATGGCCTTCTGGAGCTCACGTTCAGACAGAGATCCATTCTCATTCACATCCGCAAGATGAAAGCGTTTCTGCAAAAAAGATAAATCTACATTAGGAACTTACAGCACTTCAACATATATATATAGTTTCTGTTCTTTATTAACTACACTTCAGACTCGCTGGCTACAATTCTGGAAGAAGTGTTATTGGTGAATACATGAATACAAACAAATATTCATCGCGCCATATTCGCTGCATCACCTTGTATTTGGTGATCTTCTCCCAGAGAGTTGAGAACTCCGTGAAAGTCATCCTCATTGTTTGGTTGGTCTTTGAACATTAAGGACGACTCATTTGAAAAAAGTATATGCAATTTTACTTTCTGCCACGATAATGTGTCATGGTTTGTTGAATAAGTCAAAATCCAGCACATGGTTAAACATCCTCTTTTTCTATTAAGGATACATCCACCATGGCCATCATGCTCATGCAGGTATCCAAACCAAAACCAGAGCGGGTGCCTGTCAACGGTACAAACGGATCAATTAAAATCCCCAAAGGAACTGGAGGATTTGGTGTCGTGAGTCACGACAAAAAATAAGCACACGTGATTTAAATCAAGTCACCGTGAGGGAAGTTGTCATTCAGGAGCTTCTGGAGCTGTCCGGCCGCCAGCCGACCAAACTGCAACACAAAGTGTGATGGATTCATACGAGACAAAAAGGGGCAAGATGAGAAGCAGATCGATGAGCAGAACATTTCACACCTGATCAGCGTATCTGCTGAACAAGGCTTGGATGGTATTCCTGTCGGTGGTCTCCTCCTTGTCCTTGTCCTTGTCCTTAGGCGGCTGTAGATTAAAATTCAATAAATCAGACATTAAATTTGCTAAATAAACTCGCTCCCTTACAGCTGAAGTGTGTTCTACAATATATTACATGCATACCGTGGGAAGAATTAAGCTCTCCTCCTCTTTGTGCTCATGATCACCGCCATCATCTTCATCATGGGAGCTAAATGCAATGGATAGTTTTTTTAAATCAGCCTCCTGGTGATTTAACCTCAGTTGCTACTTTACACGTTTCTCCATTGCTAATTTTATTGCAAACAAGCAGCAACACAACTTTACACTAATAACGCTAATAATACTTATGCTTATATAATTATGCTTAAGTTTTTGTGGTCAGAAGTCAGAACATGCTTATTGTCCCTGGAGTTATGGAGGTATGAGAGGTATTTTGAGTCCTACTTCCATGTTCCTCCAGTTGTGTCGGCCTAAAACATATATTTGGTAGAATGGAGACTTCACCTCGGTTTACCAAAAACCTAAATTCTTTAAAAAAAAATACATGGACCCAAGTTTCAGTGCAGCTTTAAATGGTACGAGCCAGTTTGGGTCATACAAACAAATGAAAGAACATTCTCCAGCGGGACGTACGGCATATGACTCATGTCAGTGATTCCTGACCTCATCTTAGCATCCGTCTTGGTGTAGACGGTGAGAACAAAGTCTCCACTCATGTTGGGCTTGAGAGTGGAGGGGACGATCAGATACTCGGCCGGCTCCAGACTGTACGACTCAATCAGATCCCTTTCGTTGGTGTAAAGCTGTCTTTGCTTCATGGGCCTGTTTCTTTGGAAGAAGGAGAACATCACGCGTCCTTGTGGTGTCTGGGGAGAGAAGAACCGTAGTTATCGTAACTAAACTGGTGTTAATTAGTATTAAATGACACTATTTTTGTCGAATGCGGACTGTGATTTCGGTTGATCGGTGTGATGTTTGTTCTTACCCCTGGAGGAATCTGTCGCATGGGAAATGGAAAAAAGAAAAAGTAATTTCACAGTTATACAATAAGCCACAAAAAAGTGACAAACATAGCGAGAAACAATGGCTTTTATCATACAGTTTTAAACATTTCTCATTTGTGCTATTTAACCATTATTTAAAATTTTTAAATGCCAAATTCGGGGGCCTTACCTTAAAGACGGTAAGTCCAATCGGGTGGGTTTTTGTTGTTTTGCGATTTTGTTTCTGAGGTTTTTGCATCAGAGAAAGGAAGATGTTTTGGTCGTTCTGCTCCTCCTTGTTTATTTTAGTAACCTGCAAGCGATACTGGGGGTTCGCCTCAAAGGTAGCTACAGGTGACGAGAAACATGAACAATGACATTCGGGTTTTTTTGTACCCTTGCACACACAAAAGGAAAAGGACACAACAAACATCATTGCGGTTGTAGTTGAAGGCCAAATAATTTGGCTCACAGTAAGACATGTTGCCGCCGGCAGTTATTCCTGCCACCCAGCTGCCATCGTAAGTCATGGATTTCCACTGGCAGCTGACGTCACCGTCAATGAAGTTGGGGTTCTCACAGCAGATGAACAAGTTTTGGAAATAATGACAGAAGTCCTCCAACTCCATCCTGACAAAGATAGACAAAGAGAGCAAGGTGTTGAATGTATTGTATTTTCGTGAATTTACGGGACACCTCAAATCCAAACATTGGGAGATAGTTGTGTCTTATAAAATGTGTTTCTGTCCGTTGAATTTTCATGTGTTCAGATGTAAAGCCCCTTTAAAGGAGTCATTTGCAACGATCTAAAGGTACCGTGTGGAGTTCTGAACACTAGTAGTGCTGAGGTGCATCGTTTTTATGACGAGGAAGTACGTCTTACGCAATTTCACTGATCGACCGTTGGCGGTATTAGCAGACCAAAAAATGAAGTAAAAAGTAAAGTAAAATTCAAGCGAGCAGACAAAGATGCACAAACATCTTAGTGAATTTATTTTTTAAATGATCCATGCAATGTTTTGACGAGGAAGGAGGCACATCCGTTCCATTAGTTAGACCTCACTGAAGATTACTTACCAGAACTCTCCGTCATTGCGGTCAACAAAGTTTTTCCGATCTTCTGGCCTCACTTTACTCCACATGTCAGACCTGCGTACGAGAGGAAAATAAATGTGTCCTTGAGCTGTGGTTCAGTGAAAGTTAATGTTATTACTGACTGGGTGTCTGATCAGTTCAAAGAGCCTACTTGTCACTCCACTTCCCCTTCCACTCCGTCCGGCCCCAAGGATTCATGAGACGCACCAGCTTCACTTTAGAGCCGTAATAATCCACCTTTAGAGGAAATGGAAACGCTAAATGTGACATTTGAACTTTCCTCTTGCACATACATGAGAACGAACTTTACCTCAGTGACTGCTGTCACGGAATAAGCATGTGCATCCACAATCCCAGTGTCCTGTACTGAGTTCACCAACTCCCCCTGAGACAGATAGAGAACGGTGCAATCAAACCAGTGACTTTCAATTCTTTTTCACTTCCAAGGGTATTTGTTCTTACCCCCTTCTGGGCAGTTCCGCAGCAGATCATCGACTGGCACCTGGTGGCTCTGCTCAGCGCGTTCCACAGCTCCTCGTCGTGGCCCGCCGAGTGGGCCTCATGGAGTTTGTAATCCATGTTCAAGCCTCCACTGAAGTCCTTGCAGGCCTCTGACGGCAATCCAGAGCTCATGTCCGCGTATGAGCCGCACACTCTGTGCGAGATAGATGACGTCTGTAACCATGGGGACCATTCATCCACGCGGAGCGTTTGACTAAGGTGGCACTCCTTAGTCTTCAGACACAATGAAATATTTTGTACAAGGTAGAACGAGTCGGTGTCTTACTTGGCGTAAGCTTTCTCCAGCAGAGGAGCCCAGAACTCGGTTCCATCCTTGGAGCTGACAAACATCAAGCCATTGTTCAGCGTTGGCAGGTGGTCATCAATGACAACATCTACCCACACGCCGAACCTCCAGAACTGACACAGAAAGGAGAAGTAAGACTTACAGGTTGGACCGGAGTGTGTGGTGAAACCGTAGTTATGACAAACTCGTGTATCGTTGATTATTTACCCTGAAATGAAATATCCCGGCATTATCACTGAAGTTCTGGTCCATAGGCACAACTTGAGCTAACAGGCCTTTGTGGAATGTCAGGGAGGAAATTGCAGCCAGAAACCAGCAGTTACCTGGTAAGTTAAGTTAACAACTCAAGCGCTGACACACGCACAGAGCAGGTGGACACCTGACGAAGGTATGAAGGTATACGAAGGTGTTTTTTTTTGTCTGTGAGAGAAGGTTTGCCTACCCACGCTGCCTTGATCAAAGTCAAACCGGGAGGCTCCTTTGCTACAGAAAATAGGATCCCTGCTTTTTTTTTGTGCCTTCAAGATGTCCTGGACAGTACAAAAAAAAAGAAAAAATCAAAATACACATATATGCGTGAACATATGAATACTGGAAAACAATGTAACTTCAGAATGTAAAAAAAAATGCTTTTTTCTTTATCGCAAATATATATAAATATATATCTAATATATCAAAATTGGATTTACACAAGCAAACAAAAAAAACATTTAAAATGTTTTACTGCTGGTCGGAGCCACTCCACTTGGGCTTCCTGCCAACGGCTTAAATTAGGCAGGTCCCCCAGAGATTGGTTGTTGGGGGGGAAGGTGTTGTCCACAAACTGCGTCCTTCTGCGGCGGTAGTTATCTCTCAGCTGCGCGTAGTCTTGGTTGTTAAACCTGGCCGGGTTGGAGGCGCTCCCTTCACTGCCATCTTGGTAACGCAGGTTGATGATAGAGGTGCAGCTTCCAGGCATGTTGACCACAGCTTTCAGACTGATGCTGTGACACGAGAAGAAAGACAAAATAAGAGAATTCTGAATTCTTGTTAAAAAGGCAAACGCTGCGTTGGAGACGATTACCTGCTGCAAACAACTTCAGCTTCCTTGCAAGGGCAGTGACTTGGAGGTGGGCAGGCCGGTCTCTGCAGTAGACTATATAGCCACAATGTCCACGGACCCGCCCCCATGAATGTATTGAAAGAGTAAAAAAAACACCCGGGGGGTTTAGGATCCTTTTTTTTCCCTTTTAGTGAAATGTCACCGGAGCTTCTCATCCTCTCCTGTCAGGTTTGCTAAAATGCCGTTTCTCCTTTATTCTTGTGCACACATGCATAGCCCTGTAGGAACGAACAAGAAGGAGATTGCGGAGAATAAGACAATAATTTCTACCTTGAGCCATCACCGGCTTTGTGTGTCACATAACTCTTGCACTTCTTGTGGAATCTGCCAATCACTTTGAAAATTGATGAAAATACTTGAATGTTAAAACTCTACCATTGGCACATGTACAAAATCTTTTGTCATGTCAAATGTAGAATAAGAACATTCAAAGGTTTGGACACACCTTCTCATTCAGTTGAATGAGACTGGGTTAAATGGTAAACAATACGTGTTAAAGCAGCATTTATGGCAGAAAGGTGCAAAAATAGGAGATTTGAGGCTTCATAAATAATTAGTCTTAAATACCAGGGCTGTTGTAAGGTATTGCACAACAGATGCGACTGATTACGGATTACTAATGTTGTTTTCATGTGTTTGTCATACTGCATGGTATCTGTGCTACTGCCTCTTGGCCAGGTACTTCGTGCACGGAAATCTGCACTTAATGGAGTCGTGATAAATATGTGCTCAGTATGCAAATCCAGACGTTTGACAGTGTTTTTCTTTTAGTTGGATTTTTAAAATTGCCTTCAAAACAATACGTTTATTGTGTGAAACAGAATCAGCTCCACAAAAATAACTAAACCCCTTTTTTATTGCTGTTAATGTTTCTCCAGTCTTCATCAAAAGGTGTATGTGTATGTATGCCTGCCAGAAGAAGGTAGTAGCTGGTGCTGTTCCAAACTGATAAACATTTTTAAGAGATAAGTTTCCAAAAATTCCTGACATGTCAGCACCCATCTGCACACGAACACACATGTTGTGTCTGCATGTCCCTGTAAAGGTGCACCAAGTAACCCGTGGGATAAATTCTTCTGGGACAAATAATCAGTTCTCACACATACTGTATTTTAAATTTTTTGGTCCCAGTTATTTTCTAAAGCTGAGCAAAAACATGTCAGCACCCATCTGCACCTGTACACACTGTTTCTGCATGTCTCTGTAAAGGTGTGTGATGGAAAGGTCCTTCGGTAAAATTCTTTAGTTGCAGGTGTCTTTGCTATCGGCAGTCTGTTATCTTCTCCCTGGTCTTTGGTGCATGATTTCTTCTTGACTTTTATTTTTAAAGTATTGCTTTCCCTTGATAAAAAATACCCCAATACAAATGCTTAAGTATAAAAGACGTCTTGATGTTTTATGAATATTAACGGAACAGTTTGGATCTTAACTGCAACTTTAAGTTTCAAAATAAAAATAAAAACACTCAACACAAATGAACACATATCAATGCATCAACATCTTCCCATTAGCTTACTTTTTCATGTTCAGGTTTGTTAAAACTGGTTGCAGCAGCTATTATGGGTCACATTGATATTGGTTAAAACTGTTGACGCTTACGTGTGTGCGTGCCTGACAGACCCTCTTTTATCATTGTGGTTTGTTTTACTGGGTATTTCATTCAAGCCACAACTCCTTAGGAGCAGGTGATGGTTGCACCTGATATCACGGCACACTAGGTTTACACCAATAAGATGAACACATTTGTACTCCGTGTTACCAGTAGGTGGCGCCATGACTGAGGAAAAATGCAACTTTACATATCTTCAGGCCCAGTGTCTCAAACATGGCAAATGATCAACTTTGCTGATGCTCTCACTTGCCGCCCTTTCTAATTCTTAGAACATTCAGTGAAGCATTATCAAGGTCTTAAGTGACAACTTGAGATGTGCTTACCTGTGAGGAGCAGGGGCTCAAGATCATTTGAAAAGAATGTTTAATCTCTGGGAGTTTTTTAAAACGTAAAAAAAAATTGCAACACCCCCTAGGTTATTATAAAAATATACAAATTTCCAAGAATTGTGAGAACGTTTAGGAGGAGCAGGCAAGAATGGGACTGGATTCAAATTGTCAATTTTCAGAGGAAGGTGCCTAATTGGGTGAAATGACGAGCGCTGTTCCGGTTATCTGAATGCTAAGGAGCTTCAGTACAATGCTGCTCCAGCACAGGAACCACTGGGCCAGCTCTTACAAAATTAAAGCACTCCGTAATATTTAAAGAGATGCATCGTTCACATGAAATATCATTGAGAAGCGCAGATCATTTAAGTAACAGTCAGCAAATATATATTGTAAACTGGTTAAGTAATGCATTGATTAGTGTGAGGTCTGTTAGGACAACTCTAAAATCACGTAATCTTTGAAAGAAAAGCTCAATTTAGTACTTTATTTCACTCATTGCCAACGTTCTGCAGTGTCACAAGCCATTTTATTCAAATATACGCTGATTTTTAATTATCAAACTAAACTCCAAAGTCGTCAACTCCTGTGAGTCATCAGGTTGAATTGGGCCGATACACAGAAGTGAAACGTCGCGTCTTACGGCAGCTCAGCTCACACGCCTTTCATCTATGAAAGGGATAAAATGATGGTCACAATACGGTAACAAAGTACATTAATGTTACAGAACTGAATCTCAAAATGTTCAGAAAAATGAGTCACCACTAAACAATCTGCCGGTAATTCCAGATATTTGTTTGAATATCATCATGTCATTGATACAGACACAATCTACAAGTAATGCACATTAAACTAACCTCAAGTGTGCCTTGACATTTAGATTGTCAGACAACAGGAGACTCCATTTATCCGAGGTTTTCACTGTAAAATGTGTGCTGAGAGCAAGTCTTTCATCTACGGGAGGGATAGAAATGAAGGTTATCATTAGTGAAATCAAGTACATTACTATAGTTACAGAACTGCATCTCAAAATGTTCAGAAAACCAAGAGTCAACACTAAACAATCTGCCGGTAATTCCAGCTATTTCAGTTTGAATTTCATCACAACTGCAGAGACCAATAAGTTCACCGATGTTTCAAATATACCTTTCATATTCAGTGGACCAGACTCCTGGAGATGGCGCTTTGGATACCTGAAAAAACAAAATAAATGTAAAAAAAGAGGGAATAGACAAACATTCCACTAACTTCTAATTAATACTTTAACGGACTCAGAATAGTGGATCGTCAGTTGTCGCATCAGACGGCACTTCCTATTGCAGGTTTTCGTCATCGACCGCGTTACACAGGTTCACATTGTTAAGTTTAACAAATAACACAAGCACATATGATATAAGCATTATTTTACGTCCATAAATATAGTATTTCGTAACTATATGTAGGCTTTGTTCTGGCCTGGAACAGACCACAAGATTCAATCACACAAGCAGTGGTGCCCCCCCACATTACAATGTGAATAATGCTTAATAACTTATGTGTTCCAGATGCTCCAATTAGGAAAGAAAATAGTTTAAAATAACTTACTGGATCCAGGTTGAATTGAGCAGATACACTGAAGTGCAACGTCACATCAGCTCAGCTCACACGCCTTTCATCTAGTTAAGGGATAAAATGAAGGTCACAATTAGTCGGTAACATCAAGTAAAGTCTCAAGAGTTACAGAACTGAATCTCAAAATGTTCAGAAAAACGAGTCACCACTAAACAATCTGCCGGTAATTCCAGATATTTCAGTTTGTATTTCATCATAACGAGTGGATAGACGACATTTTACAGACAGAATATTCACCTGCACAACAAGAATCATTAGTCATCTGATCCAATTAGTCCAATGCAGTAGAACAATGCCTCGTCATTTGGTCACAAGTCTTTCACCTACGGGAGGGATAGGAATGAAGGTTATGATTGGTTAGTGACATCCAGTACATTAATATAGCTACAGAACTGAATCTCAAAAATGTTCAGAAAACAAAGCGTCACCACTAAACAATCTGCCGGTAATTCCAGCTGTTTGTTTGAATTTCATCACCACAGGGGCAGAGAACAGCATGTTTACATCCTGAGAATGTATATTCACCTGGAGACCACAAGCCCTTATTCATCAGGTTGAATTGGACCGATACACAGAAGTGCAACGTCGCATCTTAAGGCAGCTCAGCTCACACGCCTTTCATCAATGGAAGGGATAAAATGAAGGTCACAATTAGTCGGATGACATTAAGTAAATTCTTAGGAGTTACAGAACTGAATCTCAAAAATGTTCAGAAAACAAAGCGTCACCACTAAACAATCTGCCGGTAATTCCAGCTGTTTGTTTGAATTTCATCACGATTATCATTTCATGGATACAGCCACAACCTACAAGTAAAAGCACATTAAACCAACCTCAAGTGTGCCTTGACATTGAGCAGACATCAGGAGACTCCATTTATCCAATGTTGTGACTGTAAGATGAGTCCTGCGTTCATCCCGCCTGAAGTCGACCTATGCAGCAAAATGTCAAATTCAACCATTAGACAGGTTTTAAAAAAGTAAACACGCATGCTTTCAATAAGGATTTACACCCAAAGGTTATAAATCAAAACGCTTAAGGTTCTCACTTTTCTCTCATCGTGTCGGTCGGTGTTCCCCACGTGGCGGCGCGAGGCCCTGTTCGCGTTAACGTTATTGCGCCACGTTCACGAAATGCTACAGAAGTTGCTTTTAATTACAGTTACAAACTACAGATCGAGAAAAAGTTTAAATATAGTAACATAGGCGCTTACACCAAACAAAACATGTCTAAACTAGTTGAACGAAGCCTGCCGCTGGCGCACCTCCTGCTCGCTGGAGGGAGAAGGCGAAAGAGACAGAAACAGTGCGTCGGTGAGATATTTATACCACCAACGTCGCAGGAATATGAGGTCACGCGTTCTTCAGTTTTGGCGGGTGATCAACGGACTGCAAAAGTCCTCTGCGCCTCCTGCTGTACCGGAGGACAAACAACACGATGTCATAGAGTAAAAATAATGAAATTCACATTTAAATACGCAACATAAGCCATTGTATTCAAGCGTAAGTCGTGTGATAACATTTGCCTCAGTAAAATAATGTTACTTGACATTAGTAAGTTACTTTGCAGATGAACATTAGGACCTTCACACATTTTCTTTGGAAACTACTAATTTAGCTACCCAGCAAAAATCGTTGTCTCTCATTACATAACATATTCTCTATTATTAATCAATACCAATATGAGAAAGATAGTGTAGGCTGCACCTCACCTATACTGTTGAAATAAAACCTCTCCCCCACAAAACAGAACCAGGTAGATACCCAGGTACTCTGAAGTATGCAATGACGACCCAAATGTTGCACATGTAAATATATATCAGTCACTTGCTATGAATTATGGTAATAGAATAAATAGTGGAGGCCACACAACAGTACATCTTGATTCTGTAACAGAATAAGGTTACACTATGATAGTTCAATAAATAGAAAGGTACAGAAACACCTGTTATCTTTAAGTTGTGTTTATATTCAAGTGTATTGGAAATATGAAAATAAATCCTCTCCCCTCTATGCATCATTACATTACATGTCATTTAGCTGATGCTTTTATCCAAAGCAACATACAATAAGTGCATTTCAACCTTAACTGAACAGGACAAGTGAAATACCAACATCTTAAGTTATATTTCATTTAAGTCACATTTCAATTACACAAAGAAATCTATTCATCAGTAAATAAAGTCGTAACACCACTTGGCCACACGTGGGCGCTGTTCCGCGGTTTATCCGCTGGTTTTTCAGTCGTTGCGCGTCTGCAGGCGATCAGTCTGGAGACAGTTCGTTGCTGTGAGCCTCATTTTGTTCCGGATTTCAGAGAGAGACCTTGAATATCACACCACATCCCTCCTTCTGCATTGCACCACCCGGCAGTTTCAGGTAAAGTTGCTAAACTTACTTAAACCTGTTTTTAGATTGTTTGGGATTTCTGTTTATTTTTTGCTCAATCCCTTATTGTTAAAATCACTATAACGCACTCTTCCTGAAACGTCGACCTACTGTAAATGAGAATTGTCCCATTCGAAAAACAAGGCTTTTGTGATTTCAGTGACATGTGAACTGCAAACTGACCCTGATTCACTCACAATCTGCATGTATTTAATATAACAACTCTTTGTTAATTGCTCTTTTTCAGGAAAACTGTGAAGACATTAACTATCCATTCCTAGTTTTGTGGGAGGACTAGTGGAGGAAAACAAAGTTTGTGTGTGTGTGTGTGTGTGTGTGTGTGTGTGTGTATTGTGTGCGCGCGCGTGTGTGTGTGTGTGTGTGTGCGTGTGTGCATTGCTCCACTGCAGCAGCATGTTGCCGCCCGTGAAGAAGGACCGGGTCATTACTCAGCTCCCAATGGTCAGTAACACACACTCACTCACACATGCCTTGTAATACAATTACAGCTAACAGTGTTACAAAGGAGAGGTTATTTAGATTCTCACGTGCTGCTCTTTGTTTGTACAGCTGCAAAATTGGAAAATGTAGTTTTCCTCCCAGCGTTAATTTTATTTTTGAAAAACAAATTTCCTCTGGTCAGCAACAATAGAGGTGTAATGAGCCGGAGAGAGGAGGGGAGGACTTTTAAAAGTTTTTGGATTTTGTAAGATTGTCACCATACCTTCTTTCCACTTTTTTTTTCTCCAATTTCCATTGTGATCTTCTGTCGATTCATTCGTTTCCATTTCCTCTCCCACGTTCTCCACAGTGTTTCAGTCCGAATGCAGCGCTGCACGTCAAAGATGGCTTCCACCCACAGGTGAAGGCCGCATGCCAGCTACAGAAGACGGACACGGTGAGGTAAATGCACAGAGGGGCGGAACGGACAACACACTAAACACGCAAACAGAAGAATATTTATCAGCATTTAGGAGGAAAAGTTCAGCACAGCACAGAGGAGTGATACGCATTTACTGTGAAAACAAAGCTTTTGTCTCTCGTTTTTCTGTGATGATACAATGTATGCATATTAACACACAAGAGAAATAGTTTGGGGAATATTTAAAACGTTTTGGGGGGGGTGAGAGAGATTTGGACCAAAAACACCCATAAATTCAGAAAACAAATTCTTTGTTTTATTCAATGGAAAGGATGAAGCAGAGTTTAAGTCTTTGCTTTTTGCGTTGCCATTACATCTTGAAGCGGAGCATAACATGGACCCCTATAGAGCATGCAGTCTTTTTCACACTAATCATTTTGTATGTCAAGGTGTGACATCGTGCTGCTATGACAACGCCTTTTGTTGACCACTGCAAGTGAAATATCTAAAAGTTGAAGGGGTCTTATGTTGGCGTGTGTTTCATGCTATTCTTGTCTGGGGTCATGAATGACTGTTTAAGCTTTCTGCTGCCAGCTTTAATCTTGCAAAGGTCATCGTGGTGGGAGATGTTGCGGTTGGGAAAACGTGTCTGATCAGCAGGTGAGAAGCAGTCATCAATGATCCGATCAACTGTCTTAAGAAACACGCACAGGACTGTTGTTTTTTTTATTTTTATTTTTTTATTAGAGTTTAACCGAGTCTGTGTGTTACAACCGGGTTAACACATTAGTGAGATAAAGAAACCTGATTTATATGAATGTATTTGATATCCTGAAATGTCCGTCAGGGTCATAATATGATGGTACAGCAAACTTATTATGAGTGATATTTGTTTTTTCTCTAATAACTTTATTATCTCACCTTAATTAGGCTTTAATTTTTGTATTTGTATTCCTTGATTATACATTTTTGTATGATTATAATTCACATTGTGATGATGACAATTGTTAATTATCATAATAAAAATAACAAAAATCCCAATAATACAAAAACATTTTCTCTCTCTTTCTCTTGCGCTTCCCTTTTGTTCCTTTTAAGGTTTCGTAAGGGTGCGTTTGAAAAGAACTACAAAGCAACCATCGGGGTGGATTTTGAGATGGAGCGCTTCGAGGTGCTTGGTGTTCCGTACAGTTTACAACTGTGAGTACGTCTCCTCACCAAAGAAACCCGAAGGGACTGACGCTCAAACGGGTCAACATGAGCAAAAAATCCCTTGAACTGGCGGCCTCGCGTAATGTAATGATATTTCTCTGCGTCGGCGTCGGTGGCAGCTCTTCTCTCTCCTCTTCCCTTCACCTGCACCAAATATCTCGAGAAGACCCATCGAAGCTTCTTCTGATCTGTTTCAGGTGGGACACCGCCGGTCAGGAGCGCTTCAAATGCATCGCTTCAACGTACTACAGGGGAGCACAAGGTGAATGTGCCTCAGTCCGAAACTTCTCACACGCAAACACCGTCTCACTGTCTCACGCCGTTTGTCTCTCCAGCCATCATCGTGGTGTTTGACCTGAGCAGCGTGAGCTCGCTGGCGCATGCCAGGTACGGAATTAGGATCCAATTGTTCTCCCTTTTTTTTTTTGTTCTTTCTAATTATTCCCATGAAAGGAGTCTCGCCGTTTCCTGTCTGTCCCTGCAGGCAGTGGCTGGAGGACGCCATGAGGGAGAACGACCCGTCCAGTGTTTTACTGTTCCTCGTCGGTACCAAGAAAGACCTCAGTGTGGGTGGAACGAATTGAAAATGAGTCAGTTAGTTGTTTTTTTCTTTTGTCGATTGACAGAAAAGAAGTGTTTTTTCGCTAATATCTTATGGGCTTTAACAAACAACTATTTAATAATCACCAATTAAATCATTTTCTAGAGCCCAAAGTGGTGTCAGTTGTCTTCGGGAAAGAAAGAAAAGTACATTTTCACCTTTCAGAACCAGCAACCCGTTAAATTATCCGTATTTCTGCTCGAGTTGTTGCCGAATAACTTTTTGTGAATCAGCCGGTTATGTGAGTACTTGTTGCAGCTCTGAATATCTCACTGGGTCTGTGTGATCAGCCTGTTTCCACGGCGACTGATCGTCCACTGTCCCGCTCCCCTCCTCAGTCTCCCGATCAGTTGGTCCAGATTGAGCAGGAAGCCATCAGACTCTCTGAGGAAATCAAAGCAGAGTACTGGGCAGTTTCTGCCAAGTCAGGTGGGAGTCGATCACATGTTGTCACGAACAACCCCCCCCCCCCCCTCTCCCCTCAGTAAAAATGTCCTACATGCTTTCCGTGTTGCTGCTTCGTCCTCCTCTTGTCTCACTAGACTGCTTCCTCCGTCTCTGTTGCTCCAGGAGACGGCGTCAGGGATTTCTTCTTCCGCGTGGCCTCTCTGACATTTGAGGCAAACGTTTTGTCCGAGATCGAGAAAAGTGGCACGAGGCACATCGGTGACATTATCAGTGAGTCGGTTTGCTGGATTAACGTCTCATCAGTAACCCGAGTAACCCTTCGTCCCGTCTTCAGTCTCTCTGCATGCGATTAAAACCCCCAAAATAACCTTTCTCCTGTGTGTCCTCTAATTGATGAGTTGATTTATTCCAACATTGTAAAGCTACATTTCTCCACGAAGAATCCTGCTTTAGAGATTCAGAGGGAATACAAATGTAATTCTCAATAGTCGCTTGTTTGTGTCCTGCGCGTTCAACAAGCGTTCTCTCTACGTTGGTTCTGACCTTTATACCTCGACGTCTAACAAACATGTCTGATGCATTTTCTAAGCTGACTTTTGAGATAGTTGGAGTCCTGCATCGTTCACGATCGTATCTCCCGCTCGATGAGCGAGAACTTAAGCTCCAGCGAGAACACGTCCACCAGACGAACCGTGTGGCTCATTTAATGCTTCAGGCTCCTCGCTGGCTCTGATCTTTTTAATGGGATTTGCTGCCATCAAGGAATACCAATTATATTCTCCTCATCCAAACGCTTCCTACTGAAGCTCACGTGGTTCATCTGAAGGCCAAATTGGTTTTGTCTTTGGCTCTGCACAGGACTCACGGACAGCACAGAAGCCGATTGCCAACCGACCAAGAGGAAGTCCAACTGCTGCTGAGGAGAGAACGGCCGCTCGGACACACGGTCCCGTCCACACAGCCGCAATGAATTACACTCAGCACGCCCATTGTGGACGTCCTGAATCGTCGGAGCCGGACCAATAAAGCACCATGAGCCTGTTGTAAACGATAATTTCTTGACATTTTAGTAAACGGCCCAAGCTTCCATTAACACTGTCTGTGGCAGCGTTTCTCTCCCACATCGGAGAACATGTCAGCGACACACTTGTGCGTTGTTCTTTTGTTTTGTTTCCTCGTTGCTCTTCGTCACGCTGCTGATGAGGAGCATGCGCTGGCTCCCATGACCGCGGTAAATACCCACGACGCGCCCCTCTTCTCGGGATAGAACCGCTCCCATGATCTGGAGAAAGGAGGGATTGTTTCCAAGGACTGAAAAAAACAAACCAGGAAGTCACATCTGGGACTAATAGATTTGTCCTCACTCGGTTAAGTCAGACAGAAGGAAGACGTCCTCACAACTCTGCATGTGTCCTCTATTAAACACACACAAAAAATTGTTAATAAATTGCTTTCTATCACCGCATTGTCCTTCTGTTGAATTCAAAAAGGAAAAAAGCTAGATTTTGTAAACAAACCATGAGAAAGAATTCTTGGCGTCACATGTGCAACGTGAAGAAACAAGACACACTCAATATGAGCATGAACAAGACTTGGAGTTTAATATGAACACTTTTATTAAAGGGTTCACAGGTAGAAAAGGTCATCAGCAGTGTCAGAAACATCATTTCTCCTCTTATCACCAACTACCGGCGAACCAACCAATCGCAGCCACGCTGAAAGACGCAACATCGCAATCCGGCAAGAGACGTAAAACCAAGTTAGTTTAGACATAAAACATAATTATTTAAAACAAAATGCATATTATGGGACCATGATACTGCACACTGCAAAATGACTCACACCATTGAATACCAATGCAGCATGTTTGTACTGTGGCAGAGCTAAAAAATAATAAAACACCCAATGTAAAAGTAGGGAAGGATGCAGAGCGGCTTAAAACTGCCACGACGATCACAATAGATTGTGTTTTAAACAACGATATATTCATTCTACTGAAATAGCTGCGTGCACTTCAGATTATCATACATATAAAAGGCAGCGGGATGTCAGTTTGATGGTATTTTTGTCTGATAGTGATGTCATACAGCGAAACGACATCTTCCTTTCACTGTTGATGTCTTCGGTTTAGTGAAACCCTCCAAGGTGGCAAACACCAAATCCCTCTGTCAAAAGTGAAACACTCTAGTTTGAACCATTCACATTTGAGTCAACTTCATCAAAAATGGGACATCACACAAACATCACGAGGTTCCACTCATGGGCATTAAAACGAACCAGCTTCGTCTGCACGGCATTGCATTAATGCAGATGAAGTCATCTCAAAAGGAACCCAGCGGGAGCTCGGAGGGGCCCCATGTTAGTCCACATGGAGTTCTCCGGTCACATAAGAGTCAACAATACAACACAGGCAATCTACAGGAGTAGAAATAAATGTAGTCAGCTGATCATAATACAGCATGTGGTGGAGGCAGACGCTTCGCAGTAACCCAAGCTCACATGGAGGCTTCTCCTTGTATAAATCAGCCTCAACCCTCACACTTGGCATGTGTGTCGGTACGGTTCCAGGTGTGTTGTTTTGACAGATGTGAAGAGCAGAGGCTTAAGGTTCAAACAGAAGACACTGGCTTTATTTATTCTGTATTCCATACAAAAATGATATTTCCCGTTTGGCTTGGCAAACCGCTGTTTTGGCAACTGCTCGCCAAAATCCACCAAAACCGTAAGGTGGGAAAATCGGATTTTGGAAAACTGCAAATGTGCCCCTCTGTCGACGCCATTCAAGGATCAAACTAAAACCTGCCGCAAAAAATAAAGAAAGACGGACAGCTTGTCTGACATTGTCTGTGTAGGTCCATATCCTATATTAAACTGCTGTCTGATAAGCTTCTTCTTTTGCCACCGTACGGACTCTCCGCATGACACACGCAGTTTTAATCTGACTGTACAGAATACTCTGCAGCCACAGGAGGCGGCTGCATTTCAGGAGGTGAACCCTCCGGGACGACACACAGGGAGACGAGAGGAAGGAAGGAGACGAAGCGTGATACGGGACTGATGAACAGCACCTACAATATCAGGGGGTGAGTATGAATGGGCAGTGGGGAGCGCAGACAAAATGGTGGAGGGTTATCCGGATGAATAAGCTGAGTTGGGGATGTAGGGGGGGGGGGGGGGGGGTGTTGTGACTCCCCCCTCCATGTCCTATCGGTCCATCTCGTCCAGTAGGGGTGTGGCGTCTCCGGCGATGGACATGGGCGTGCTCTCTATCATCGGGCTGGGAGACGGTCGCGGCGTCATCCGCGGGGTTTTCTTGCGCCCCTCCGCTTCTTTTTCCTTCAGCCACTGCTCCGCCATCTTGCCCCAGTCCACGGCAGAGGCGCTGCTGCCGCCGGCTCTGCAAGGAGGGAGGGCAGGACGGGGAGGCATTTTTAGTCAAAGACAACGACACATTGAACGGCAGGCTGCCGCTTAGCCTCAAAGGAATGCAGATTGTGGGTTTAGCGCCATCTAACGGCAGAAAAACAACAACCACGCTGACATCATTCAACAACTGGCAGATTTGAGCCCTCGGCACGTCTCCAGCTCTGTCCATCCGATCGACTTTGCACCTGAACGGTTTTTCACTTCCCTCGAGCCAAATAGCAATACGCTGGTCTACAGAATGCGGCAAAGCCTGAGCGGTGCCCCCACCTCCCCCCTCCAGCTCCTCTTCCCCGCCCCCAAACGGGGAACCGCACTAAAACAGCAAAATGGACTTCAAACAGGCTCGGGAGGTGAAGGAAACATGACGAGGCGACGATGACGTCAACATTTGTGTTGAACCATTCCAATTACTTATAGCGTGGATCATTTCTAGCATCCCTGCGCAGGATGTTTCACTACCAAAGAACCAGGAAAATGCGTGGTTAAGAGTACGTCAGGTCACCGACACATATTCCCGCTGTACTCACTTTGACGGTTGTGGCGTCTGCGGCGACGGCTGCGGCTGCTGCTGCGGCGTCCTTCCTCTGGACGAGGTAGAGGAGGACGGCGTGCCGGATGCGTGGCTGTGGTGACTGCTGTGGCCGTGATGGCTCGGGTGGGACACGTGGCTTCCGTGGGGATGGCCATGTGCGTGAGAGGACTGCGGCGTGGAGCTGGCGTACTGCGGCGTGCCGAGGGCCTGCTGGCTCGGTGTGGTGTAAGAGTAGCTGGGCGTCATCATGGGAGTCGCCATGGGCTGCTGAGGTGTAGCAAATACCTGCAGAGGAGGAAGTACCGGCAATGAAATGTGGCTCAAGGATCATACGAGTATAAGCAGGCTCTTAAGAAAAAGGTCCAACTGAGAAAACAACTCAATATGAATCGTTCCACATATTTCTGACTGTAGATAAAATACATTATGATTTTGAAAATAATTAACAAGGGGGTCCTAAACAAGATGGGTGTCATCTACAAGACTTTATAAAGTCCTTTACGAATTGAACATCTCCATAACAACCTCCTACCATTGTAACTTGTTAAAAACTGCACTTACATGATAAGCAGAGGAGCTCCCTCCGCCTCCTCCTCCTCCTCCTCCTGTGCTGCCACTGTAGCCATACTGGCTGGAGCCCCACTGGGCGGGGGTGGTGTTGGGGTTCTGGCCCTGGCCTGTGACTGCGGCGATGGCACTGAACATCTGAGAGGTCATGTTGCGTGGGAGGGCGTTGACAGCTCGCGTCAAGTCTAGGGAGGAAGGGACGCATTACAAAATGGTCAAACGTACTTCAACTACACTCCTGCTGAATGTATATTTGAAAGAAATTGAGACTCACCTGCGATGTTGATATTGGCTGGGGTGGCATTGAGGGATGCAGGTGTCCTTGTTCGGCTACTGTTGCTGGGAGTGACGCCTTTGACGGAGGGGGATAACGTCAGTTCAAAACCCACAACATCTTTCAACCGTCGGAATAGACACAATTAGCATCATGTGTTTTCATACCGGGCACAGGCTCTTGGTAATGATCCTTAAACCACCGAAATAGTCCATTCACTGTGGGAAATATCTGGGAACGATAGCGGAAGCCATCCGGGGTGATGGTCACATACTCAACCCTAGACAAAGAAGAGAGATGGGATGCTGAAATTCTGTTCTACTTGTATTCAAAGCTTGCTGACGATCAATGAAGTAAACGTCTAATAAAAAGCAGCTGGGCGGTCGAGTGGATCAGAATGTACTGGGATATTTAGAATAGGGGGATCTAAAACGTCTGTATTTTGAGGCCCACTTTGGATTATCAAAACTATTCCCAGGAACTCCATCCCATATGAATAAGAAAAAAATCATTGTAAAAGGGGGAAAAGAACGGGGCGGTATAAATGCCAGCTATGATGACTTATATACAGCTGTTCATTGTGATTACGGTGGAGGTTGGCTACTCATATGCAACGGGTCATTGATATTGTGCTTTGTTTGAAATACTGTGTACTGTTTAATATGAGCCTTTACTTATCTGGGGAAAAGAAACATTACCAATTTTGTTATAAATCGGCCTCCACTGAATCCATGGCATCATCACAGAATAGACAGAAAACATTTCTTCTCACCGTGGTTTTCCACGAGGTTGGTAGCCCAGTATGAATTTTCCTGGCATTTCTTTACATGCCGAAAGGAAGTATGGGATGAAAGTAGGCTTCTCTCGCTTTGTCTTGACCAATAACTCCTCCATTTTCTATTAGAGAGAAAAATAGACAAAGACTTAGTCGAATGAGATGAGGTACAGTAAAGAATGACATCGGAGTAAAGAAGCAGACCTCTTTGATCCCCCAGAGGCCGTCCTGGAAGTACTTATGCCCCAGTAGATCCCTGGCGAACGACGCCATTGGCTGAATATACCGAGCAGTGATTTCATCCAGATCTTCAAACTCCTGCAGAGAATTCATGAGACTCTTGAGGAACACGCAGCAGCCAAAACAACATCGATGTAGGGTTCGACCGCAAAGCACGAAGGAAGACTAAACAAGAAGGAAAACCACTCACTTCGTTATTGATCCAGAGAGTGTGCCCTAAGCTGAATGCGTTCTCTTTGCCTTCTTCTCTCACATCCACATGCTGGTAGATGCCTTCAGCCACCTTCAAAACAAATGTCACAGTTAGATTGGCGTATGTTGAGTTTTTGCCAAGTGAAGTACCTTTCTATCGGTTTCTTACTTTCCAGGTGACTGTGAGGTGGTTCTCTCCCTTGCTGCTGGGTCGGATGATCAAGTCTCCCTGGTCCAGACTCTCCATCATCTTCTCTGCTTGGTTGAAACTAATGTTGTGGAAGTTGGGGTGGGCAATCACACGCTTTATGTATGCTGGACAGACCGGGGAGAAGCAAACAAGCAGTATAAGGACAGTGATGAGGAGGGCGTTGGGCAACCAAAGCGTCTTATGAGGAGAGATCTGCATTCTCCCGAGAGCACCTCTCTAGGTAATCCTGTCATTATACTAACGTGT